GAAACCATGTTGCAGTATTAGTCGAATTAATAAACTTTCCCCCGTGTTATTTTGACGATTCTTTGCAGTATTATTGATCAGCAGTCCTACCTTGTTCATATAAAACAGCGATTGTCCCTACGATGCACATACGCTGAGATAATGAGCGGTGAAAATCTGGTATTTTCGCTGAACACCGACTAGACATTAGTCAATACTGCGACCCTCTCTCAAAGTGTGGCCAGTGTGTTGCTTCCGGTCGCCGCTGTGTAGCGTCATAGTGGCGCTGACTCACGTCATACTACCAGAGTTTACTATACATCCAGCGTGAGGTGGGCGTGAGGTGGGCACAGGTGGGGGTCATCACTATGGCAATCAATAACAGACGTCTTTCATTCCATTTGTCAATCATTGACGGAAACACGCGAGGTTTACTGAAGTTATAACACTTCGAGAGACAGTCACAGTAACCGACTGATCTCGAGTCAGTTTTCGGCGAAAATACCAGATTTTCACCACTCATTATCTCAGCGTATGGGCATTGTAGGGACATGCGGTTTGTTTTATATGAACAAGGTAGGACAGCTGATCAATAATACTGCAAAGAATCGTCAAAATAGCATGGGGAAAGTTTATTAATTCGACTAATACTGCAACATGGTTTCAGCATTTTACCGTTGTATGCTCTCCTTCTTTATATGCTCTTGCCATGATGAATATATATTAACAAAATTGAGCCACTTTACATCGTAACCAAAGTCACATACATAATACATTTGGAAATTGAAACAAATACATATGAATTCAAGAACCAATCAGATTGTGGCAGCCACAACAGATTAAATATAGTTATATATGCTAACTGGATACAACGTAGTCCAACTTCACAAACCACTACGATTCAGCAACACTGATCAAGCTTGGTCCTTCCGAAACAAGACTGTGTGTTTGCTGATGGCAAAGGTAAAAAGGGCCATTGCTGGCACAGTTGTTGCACTTACTACACTGTATGGAGGACAGACGAGCTGTAAATGGGGCAGCGATACTTGCGTCACCTAGCTTCACTACCTGTGCCTGCTCTTGCTCCTCCAGTTCCCTTAACATGTTATTAAGCTTCTTCTGAAATATTAGTAAATAAGACGATACGGACCAGTTATTTATTCCTGAAAATGCTTCAGCCTAGGGAACACACAAGGTACAAAGAAGTTGAATATTGGTAACTTACTCCCTACTGCCCACGACTCCAAGCACCAGTACCTCCATTAATTATCTCTAATTAATCACTTGCCTACTGCAATAATCATTGCAATTACAATTACTACAATTAGCCTAGTCACTTATCACCTATCCCCCTTCTCTCTCCTCGCTCCCTCTCCCACCCTCACACTTTCCCTCCTATTGTCTTCCTCCCTCTGACCCTACGACCCCCTCTCTTGCATTCTCTCTTCACCCTTTTCTCTCACTCACTCTCATGTTCTTAACATTTAGCTCACTAGCTCCCAGAATTCTCACTCTTTCTTACTATCCACTTTTGGACTCTGCTGCTGCTATGTCATGGCATACCTGCATGTCTGCATTTCTTTCAGCCCTACTCTGTGGTGGCCGGCCCTTATGTAGCTGCTGTCTATTGCCGACTCTTCCCTTGGCCGCAAGCTGCACTAGCTTGTCATTAGTCGTGTTGTTTTCCATGCTTGCAGCGGGAATGGCTGCCTGACTGGCTTCTTTCGTCTTTGGCTTGTCCTTCCGTTGCTGAGGTGCGTGTGAGAGTAGTGCGACTCCTGAGAAACAAGAGGACGGCTGTCTGACAAATGATCCGAAAACAATGCAATGTTCAAACGTTCATATTCTCATACAATCAGTTTGATTTTCTCTCTGCTAAGGATAGAATACTGTCAAACTTTGCTCTAGTGCTTCTTTTAGCTATAAAGCCAGAACCACCACCGAAAGCAGAATAGGCCAAACGTAATGCATAAGAGCTCTTCTAGTTTAGGATCAATCTCATGACAAACCAATACCAATAGTTTTTAATACAACTGTTTGGGCTAATAATTTTTTTAACTTCTAAAGAGCATGTGTAATCAACATATTATTGCTGCTGCCTCACCAACTTCAGCATGCTTCAGCGCTCCAACGTCATTCGTGCCATCACCACACATGAGTGTGATAAAGCCAAGAGCCTTCATCGCTGTGATGACTGTTTCCTTTTGCTTCGGTGCCACACGCGCATACACACGCACATAGGGAAGGATGCGCTGAAGGAAGCTCCTATGCTGGTTGCTCAGGTATGTTAGGCCCTAACAGACACATCCAGTGAGAATGAAATTAAGAGGCCAAGCCACAATGGTTCTAGACTTTAATTCGGATGGACAAGGTGAACGAACGCTTGGGGAAACATGGTTAGCAGATGCCCGAAGAAGTTAGAAATGTAGGCTCTGAGTGTAGGAACTGTTTGGTGAAATTGGAACCTGTAGTGAGACAGGATTTGTGCTGACAGGGCAATTGCCGTAACTCCTGCAGTAAATTTCGATAAAATATTACAAAGCCTTCGTTCCCAGGATCCAAAAAATTTGATGGAATGCTTAGCAACTTTTTTTTATTAAATGATAGTTTACCCTTGTATATTGGCAAACAATAAGAGAGCTTGCTCCCAACTACACCAACTTGGCAAGCAAATTATGTACATGACTTTACTGGGAACTGTCACATTTTTACTTGCCTCCCCGGTTAAGCACAGATCATAGTTGTTTATTAATTCCCGATATCCCAGATCAGGCACCACTTGAAAGGCTACTTTTTCATCCACAGATAGCCATTTCCACAACCCTAAAATAAAAATAACAAGATAATTCATTTCACAGGAAGCTAATACAAAAACAAAGTAATTCATTAAAGTTTAATGCAGGGTACTATATTATTTCTTTATTTAATGTTAATTATAATTACATATAGGCATTCTATTTAAATTCTAGGATTAAAATGAAAATTAATATATATTATCCAGAAAGCATGTAGACACCTCAACAAATTCGAATTAAATGCAAACTTCCTATTACATATAACACAGTTGACTCTCGTGCACAGCAAATATAAGGTAACAGCCACTAACCTTCTTCACCGAGTTCTTCTGCTTCCTTCTCTTTTGGAGACGTTAGAATGAGAGTGGCATCCTTTCTGGTGAAGCGTAGCTCTCTTGCTACATGACATGCAGTCAATGGGTTGTCACCCGTGATCATGACAACCTGCATGATAACCAGACGAACACCATTTGCATGGCACATTTCAGGTATCACAATACCTTTCCCACTGCCTGATGGGTTTGTTTAATCCTTTAGACACCAATACATCCAAAACTCGTAGTTACAACTCTCTTTGCCAGCTAGAGAAAATACATGTTTATACAAGCAGTAATTATCTGTTTCAAGGACATTTATGATGCCAAATTATCTTTACACAGAATATATAATTTATGTCATATTGATTTAGGATACAGCCTTATATTCGCCCTTACAGAACAATAAAAATCACTAAAGGTAATTTCACCAAAGTAAATTTTCATCTAGTATTAACATATCTCTAACTATAGTACGCAATAATAACAGTCCTTGTGTAAGCAATTAATACAACAGATACACATGTAATCTACTCGCGTAATCAGTCAGTATCTTACGTGATGGGACGCATGCATTATCTCCTTGATGATAACCTTGGAGTCGCCCTTCAGAGGACAAGAAATGATCACGAAGCCGACGAAGGTGAGTCGATTCTCCACGTCCTCCCTTGTCAGCTCTCTGAGCTGTCACAAGCATTCATATGAGATGCACGACCACCCAGATAACTGCAAGGCCCCTAACACATGTTCGCAATGTGAAGATGTGACCTAATTCAGCACGTGTGCACGCAGATTATAACATTATGGGAATTTTGGATGGAAGATTGTGAATATTTTGTATTCTAGAGTCTGTTTGGTAAGGCTCTCCCTCTGGACGTTTTAAATTTTGAGCCAAGACTTGAGCCACCGATGTTATTTTTTAGCCACCAATCAAAAACTAAAGCCACTGTTCACTTGATCGTACGTGCTAAGCAAGGCATAAACAAGTGATGGGTATGGGAAAAAAGGGGTACGAAAACATTTCTAAATCAAGTAAAAATGAAATCACGTAGTTTAGTCTAAAAAACTAGGTTGTCGCACCATTGTGCATTACTTGCACCAAAGGACCAGATTACGGAATTTGTAAATACTTACACGACACTCCAATTTGACGATTTCATTATTCAATCTTTACTTTGTGAGCAGTTAAATTTAATTCGCTAATTCTATTCACCACTTAGTGTAGTAAAATCGCCACTGCTATTTATCATGATTTGCGAAGGTGGCAAGTGCCGGCGGTAGCCCTGTGTTGGTGTATAATAAATTAAACTTCCATAAGGGGTTTATTATATATGTCAAATACCTGCTGAGATGTGAGATTTCCCAGCACTTTATGTCCCAATGCAAGAACTCTGGCCCCCTGCCGGGACATCTCCAAGTAAACATCATCGTAGTGGCTTGGTACCTCAGTAAACTTTAATGCACAAAATTGTTCATGTAATACACACCAGTTACTCCACTATTCAATACAAAGCTACACCTTCACAGCAAATTCATGTATGACAGAATTCAAAATGGAAAGACAAACGAACAAGCAAAATTGACCAGCTCACTACCCCTACCTACAAGCTATAGTCAGACAGCTGCTAGCATGGAGAGTAAGGGACCGACCTCCCAAGGGGAGATTAGAGGGGCCGTCAGGGTCTCTGTCAAGGCCATGTGGCAGAGACAGTGGGATATATCAGAGACAGGCAGACGCCTTCATGGCTTGAAACCTTCGGTCAGTACGCATGCGCTGATCGACGTACCGAGCCACCGCCTCTACTCCAAAATAGCCCAACTAAGAACGGGATACGTGGGGTTAAATAAATATCTCCACATAATTGGACAAGAGGATAGCCTGAACTGTGAAGAGTGTGGTGAACCCGAGACAGTAGAACACTTTCTCTTGGATTGTGCCCGTTTCACAGAACAGAGAGAACGACTGTGCTAACAGGGTCTTCAACCTGTGCGGAGAGTGGTCCATCTCAGTGGCCATGTTGTTGGGTGTGTTGGAAGACGATCAGTACAGAGACATACGCATCAAAATATGTGAGCTTCTGGGTGACTACATAGCCCAGACATGTCGCCTCTAATGACGTCAGCGCCACCTATTATCCAGTAATACCGTAATACCGTGAGACACATACATAGTGTGACATTAACGTACTAAGTGACTATCATACTGAGAGAACACTACAGCTCTGCGGAGCTCAGTTCAAGGATTCAAGGATACCTCAGGATGCCAAGGTAATAATATAGTGACTGCACACTAATAGTACTACCCCACAAAATACAACTAAACTGGGCTACACAATGCAAATATTATATCTCTATTTAGTAGGTATGACCGCTCACTTTTAAAAATTGAGAGGAAAAGATACCATTATGCATCAACTGCCTTCACTGTGGGGGTGGAGCTAATTTGCCTGGAAAGATGGTCTACTATGCAGAAACAATCACGAATTTCTATAAGGCCTAAAAAAAAAGACGTTTGTTTCCGGTAACGAGCTGAAAAAAATTGGACACGGTAGACAGGGAACTTTTTTTATCAATTTTTTTTCTTTTTTGTATTTCAACAATACTTGTTTTATACTTATAAGAGCCCATATAATGACTTCAAAGTCAAATCAATGCATTCACCGATCGATATCACGTATAAAAATTTTTGTTATTTTTTTTGCCGATCACAATAAAAAGTTTCGACACAGCAGTTTAAAATGGACTCGGTCGGGTTAGCGGAAACAAACGTCTTTTTTTAGGCCTAAGAAAAATCTCTAAAACCTACCATAGATCGGAGAACCTCTGGTGCACCCTTTACTGTGGAGATGTACAAGGTGTCTGTCGTGCCCACTTGTGTGCAAGCAGCAACAACAGACATGCGCTTCATTGCACTGGAGAAATGATTGCGGTGGACTATCTTTAAACCCATGGATTTCCCTTTCTTTGGATGAACGGAATCACCTGCAGACAAATTCCCAAACCGAGTGATGATCACCATAGCATACGAAACTACATCGTATTTAACCACAAGCATGACTGCCCGGTAGCTAGCCACAAGTTCCCTTCTCGCTTAACACTACGTTGGCGAGAGGTACGGCGTGTAACAGTCGGAGAGCCTGGTCGGTTTATCCGGTAGCATACTATCGTAACTAATGTATTGCTACCTTAAAGTATTTATTTCGAACATAATTTCCAACCGGTCTCGTGTTTTCCCTACTTTTACGACACTTGCCGTTATTATAATATATTGCTTGAGTAAAAGCAACTGTCTAGAGTAACGCTAAACATGTCTTAAAACTTTTGTATTTGGCTATATTCATCAAAACATGCACGATTTGAGTTTTGATAACTCATTTTGATTACCGCCGCCATTTCTTGTAAATCTCGGACGATAGCGCAATTTAAAAATAGAAATGGAGCAAACTACACAGATGCTCTTTTGTTTGAATTAGGTGTACTGTGTGCACACTTGTAACTCGTTTGTGCAAAAAGGCGCCATTTGCAAATTAAAAAAAATTGTCCATAGAACCCATGCCATGTACCTTACATACACAAGGATGACTGCCGATGCAACACACTCTCAATCAGAACATGTTTCCATTCAGAACACATTTCCTATTGTCTGTAATTCCCAAATGTAAAAAACGTAGCTGCACTACAAAATTAGAAATAAAACGCCAACGTTAATCCACAGGAAAACTGGTGGTCCCGATTTTCGGACATCTTGCCTTTGCTAACATTCCATTCGATAGCCGTGAGGGTAGCTTTCTCCAGCGGGTCTCCTACCAGCCCATCATCAAGCTGTGCGAGAGAATGGCAGGTGGCCAGCACCTGCACGGTCTCCGCTGGTAAGTCAGCCACGCTGCACATCTTCTCCCTGTCCCTGTAAACACCAAACGAGTATCAACGTGACACCTAGAAATAAGAATACAACTAAGAACACTGTGCAAGCGTGACAGTAAGACATACCCCGTGAACTTGACAGCTAAAGACACCTCACAAACCTGACTGTTAGCGATACAAAATAAATGTTAGCGCTATAAGTATCCATAAACATAACAGCTAAATGTACCCTGTAAACGTGAGTTAGAGATACCTCGCAAACACGACTGCTAGCAATACCATATGAATGCGATTGCTAGCGATACCATATAAACACAACTGCTAGAAAAACCATATAAATGCAACTGCTAGCGATTCGATATAAACGCGATTGCTTGTGAAACCATATAAACACAACTGCTAGCGATACCGTGACAGCTAGCAGTTGCAATGTAAACGTGACAGATAGAGATACTATGCATATATGACAGCCATCAATAAGAAACATCATCAATATAAAATATTGGTGAATCAAATTTAAACAACTGCTTCATTAGGGAGAGAAAATCACATAGTAAGACTTCTAGATGTGCGGAACCAACAATCTGGTAATCGTGAATTTGATAAATCAGACAGAAGCACAGCATCGAGGTACCACTTCCTAATGGACGACTTGTGCTCGCCGAGGATTACATATAATTAATTAATATAAATTTTTAATTTAACATTAATTAATTATTATTACAGAAACGTACGGAATGCCGGCAACTCCCTCCACCACCAGGTTGTCACTGGTGAGTGTACCCGTTTTGTCGAAGCAGCAGATCTCCACCTTGCCAGCGAACGGGATGCGGAAAGGCTCCGTGCAGTAAACACCTGCAGTACGTGTGCACACCAGATATCATGCAGAGAGAGGGAGAGAGAGAGAGAGAGAGAGAGAGAGAGAGAGAGAGAGAGAGAGAGAGAGAGAGAGAGAGAGAGAGAGAGAGAGAGAGAGAGAGAGAGAGAGAGAGAGAGAGAGAGAGAGAGAGAGAGAAGAGAGTAGAGAGAGAGTAGAGAGAGAGAGAGTAGAGAGAGAACGGAGAAGAAGAGAGACGAGAGAGAGAGAGAGAGAGAGAGAGAGAGAGAGAGAGAGAGAGAGAGAGAGAGAGAGAGAGAGAGAGAGAGCGCATCCATTTAACTTTTCTTGTGTACTATTCAATTATATACAAACATATTTTATATGTATAGTAAACGTTGATATATGTATATTTAAAAATTCTCATGGCATTAACTACATAAACCAATATTTATATACTACGCTGTACTACTGGGCTGACCATACCTAACTTTGTGAGTGCCAGCAGTGAAGTGTTGACAGCCAAGGAGAGCTCAATTGGTAGCTCAGGCGGCACCACTGACGTCAGAATCAGCGTGCACTCCAGAAACAGCTTATAGCGATTACGGGTTTCATCCTTGCAACCTAAAAATTGATGTCGTATGTGCCTCAAATAACTGCTACACTCTGGAATATTGGTTAGCTTGTTCTACGCCCGTCGAGTTTATGTGATGGTGTATGTACATGTGTGATTACATACGTGAAGTACGATTATATATGCATAGATGTCTACGTTTGCTGTGCAGTATAAGCGTTCGCACGGGCACGTTTGCACGTGTACTTGTGAGGTGTGAGTGCATGGATATGTGGTTAGATTCTAGAGCCCTAGAGGAACGATTTGGAGGTACACAATCTGACAATGAAGCGCTCTCTGCCATTCTTAGTCTAGCAGTTACGTGTGCTACTAGTATATATTCTAGTGCACCATATATGTGCCAACACTATTAATCCAAATGTAGCTCCACAAAGTGTTTCTAATTATAGTAACGTTCTGTGAGCTGATCCTGAGCGAAAGTGAGACCGTGAGTGCCTGAGAGCACCTAAATGCCAGATTATGCCCATTCAAAACGAAAATAATTATTAAATAGTTCTCTCTCGACATATGCAAAGGAAAAACCACTCAACTGCTCCTGTCATATTCACTTATGTACAAGGATAGGGATATATCGTATACATATAGAGGAATATATATAGGGTGAATGTATGCGTATATATGCTTTTAAAACTATGGGGTATGCACACATGCACGAGTACACATGCCTTACCTTCAATCCAGACATAACTGGCTGCAGCAATTGCAAACACAAGCAGGAACAGAATGAATGCGAATGTCTCCAAGTTGTTGGCCGTGACGCGACGCACTCCGAACATGATAGTGCGCAGCAGCCGACCCTGAGACGTGTTGAAGGACGTGCGTAGCACATAAGCAATGCAGCCACTGTCCGGTGCTGCAGTGAGAACATGTACAGCTTACCCTTCTCACACTATATATAACCACTTTTGTTTACAAAAAGCTGTTCATATATCCACGAAAAATTACACACATCTTGCAAACTCTAGCAAACAAATGAGTGCACTGCAGTATGTGACTGTGACGTGATTCAGTCACAGTGCGTAGAAGAGAAAGCTAATAAGACTTAGGGCACGTTTGTTTGGACAAATCCGTCTGATCAGGATCACTTGATCCTGGTTTGCTCAAACAAATGCAAACCCACAGTCACTTCCAACAGATCATGATTCACTGTGACCTATCACAGGATGGTTCATAGCAAACAACAAGCAGTGATTGGCTGGGAAGCACGCCACCATATTGGATTCCCTGCAAAATCCACCTGCCACGAGTTTCAGCAAATTGTGATCCGGATCCAAACAAACGAGCATGATCATTGGGTCCGTGTGATTAGGATCATATAATCCGTCCAAACAAATGTGCCATACACATATTGTTGTGTTTCAATGGCGTGTACAAAACCGTCTGCTTGAACAGACAACTGCTTGCTAACAGCAGACTGCAAAGATGTGCTGCTATTGGCTGCTGCTGGTTCACACCACTGAGCGAGTGTGTCCAACCTACATGTCCTATATATGCATCCGATAAGCAATATACATAACTGTATACACGTTACAACGATGCCTGGAATAAATAGTATAGTTAGAATCAGACCAGCCCATTAGGAGAACCAACAATATGCTTTAGGTTATGTCTCATTTCATTATGCCGAAGATTAAAAATACTGTACATAGGTCTGACATTCTCACCTTTCATGCCAGGAGCTGTCTTAGCTGGTGGTGTATGCTGCACTACCATAGTTCCCCCGAATAGAATGTGCAACCGGCCATCAGATTCAATATCCAACACTTTATCTTTGTCAAGAACTTCAACTGCTTCCTGAAATTTCATTAACATTTATATATGTATGTGCACATGCTATATGTGTGAGTGTGTGGGCATGCGTGCGTGCATGCGTGCGTGTGTGTGTGTGCGTGCACGGGAGTGGGTGCGTGCGTGTGTAACACTAACAGTGGACCAAGCCCACCCGATCCTTATACTCATTATGTGGATCCTAGCAGAATCGCTACTAGTTCATATTCTGCTACGATCTTACATGCACATCCACGTACGCATCGTGAGCTGGTAAAGTATTAATTTCCCATATAATCTCGTGTTTTCCCCACTTTTACTACAATTACCATTATTGCTTGAGTAACAGCAACTGTCTAGAGTAATGATACAATGATCTAAATGATAAAGAATCAGATGCCCCTTTGTTTGAATTAGTTACGGAATGGGTGCACTTGTAACTAAGTTAGTGTGCCATCAATTTACAAGTTTACCCAGTCTAACTAAAGGCTAACTCAGGTCGCCCTTACGACCTAGTCGCCGACAAAATTTGAAGATCGTACGTCAAAAACCGGCCAGATCGTTGATAAAAACATCAGCAACTAAACTCGACATGAGTTCTCTTACGATCGAAAATACGGTCGCCGACTGCGATCGCAGGAATAGAAACGGTTCTATTTCTATGCGGCGATCGGCGACAAATCGTGAGTGGCAGCCAATCATTGCTACGTGTCGAGTTACATGATTATCAAAAGTCACGTGATTAACAAAATGGCAGCCTACACAGCAGTTTACAAGGAGGGATTATTGAACAAACCCTTTCTCAAATATATATTAAGTTTTCCGTATATCACAGGCAATTTTTAAAATTATTTTTCTGCACATGATTATAACGATTTTCAGAAAATCGAGGATAGATTTACGAAGTTACCTGATGTTTACTGGTAAGCGCCATTTTGTTGGTCATGTGACCCGTTTATGTAGACTGGTCCCGGCATCAAGCTTGCTCTGTTTGTGCTAAAGAACTGCTTGTGCTAGTACAAATACTGGGGCCGCAAACCCGTCTACGTTTCGTGCAGAACGCTACGATCTGATCAGCGATCTACAGCGTGAAGGCACTTCAAGTCGACGTGAGTGTTGCTACGCTGCTAATCGGCGATAAAGTAGTCGCCGATAGTCAAATCGTAGGGCGACCTGAGCAGGGCTTAAGGCGCTATTTGTAAAATCATTCTCGGCATGGTGTTACGATGTATTCAAATCCAATTTTCTATGCTTTCACTACATAAATTCTTAGTGTTTTCCAAGTTCATTGTAATCAGTGATACGTACTAATATATCCACTGTAAGATGAGACTATATTTCGCTATATTTTTTTTTCAAATTGAGCATTTCTGAGCAATATTTTTGCAATAAAGCCTTTAACGTGAGTATATTCTTAGACATTGGCGTGATGAGAGCTGCGCATCGAACATTTTAGAATCATGTATGTGCTGTGCGGAGTTGCACTAATGTAGGTATTTTTATTATTGCTAGTCCTGCGCGCGTTGACTTCATCAGTGTGTACACATGCAAATAGTTCTAAAAGAAAGTTCACTCGTTTAGCTTTGTTATTAGTTAATTTAGTCAAATTAGTTATGCATGTAGCACAGTTGTCATCACAACTGCGTCACATGCCTGGAACCACGCATGCTCAGCATTTAGTTGTCAATCAATGTGCCACGTGTCGAGAGCACGTCGTTAAACGTGACCAATAGATGCTGACCACATCTAGGCAGCATATCGGCAGTTTTGTTTTTCCCATGAATAGCCGTCAGCAGTGTGACTACAGGCGATTTGGGTTTCTATAGACGTGGCCAAGTGCGCTACTTTTGGCCATTACTTGCGTACTTTGTTACTGGGCACTTTAACCCATGAAATGGCTTAAGCAACCAGTTGTCTAGTAAGATAAGACGACCCATTGATGGTGGCAGAACGCCCTTAAGCCTAGCGCAGACTTGCGACTTTTGGTTGCTCGTCGCTGCAACCTGCAACCGCATGCGATCGGTCACACGCTTCACCGTGTGTGCGCATGCAAGCGACTGCTGTTAACAGCAGTCGCTTCTTTCCATTGTCTTTCCATGACTTATATTACCCGCACACATGCGATTTCGAAGCGATTGCAAGCGACGAGTCGCTGAAAATCAAACCTGTTTGATTTCTTGCAACTTGTTACAAGCGACAAGAATCGCTACGAGTTGCAGTCTGCGCTAGGCTTTAGTTATGCCTACTTTGTTAGCTTTAACAAAACTCTTCTCTTAGAATTTAAAAGAGACCTTCCTCTAGTCTCAGTGGTAAACAGACGTGTCACTTAGTTTCTCTGTTGATATATAATACTGTAAGACTCTGTTGCTTAACATTATGAACTGTTGGTATCCTATTTACCTTTTCTAAAATAAATCAATTGGTGATTTATTGGCTGACTTTTTGGTTTCCCTATCTACAAGTTCGAACTACACGAACTTTCACTTTCAAACATCATGAATAACATTGGTTTAGCCTCTAATCGCCTGTCACCACTGGTGGCATGATATCTCGCCACTCACCACCCTCCAGTCATTTTCAAACATCACGAATAACATTGGTTTAGCTTCTAAACACCTGTCACCACTAGTGTCATGATATCTCGCCACTCACCACCCACCAGTCACTTTCAAACATCACGAATAACATTGGTTTAGCTTCTAATCACCTGTCACCACTAGTGTCATGATATCTCGCCACTCACCACCCACCAGTCACTTTCAAACATCACGAATAACATTGGTTTAGCCTCTAATCGCCTGTCACCAGTGGTGGCATGATACCTACCCAAACAGACATGGAAAGTATTCACATCGCAAAGTGTATACAAAGCAGCGCATCTTACGCATTGAGCAATACAGAATCTTGAAAGGAGCAGAGCAGACTATCATGTGCATACGTATGCACGTGTGTGTCTGTGTCTGTGCTTCTCTGCGTGTGCACATGACGTTTACTCATATTAAGGCCTACTACTTTTAAAGCTATACTTTGTAAAAACTGTGTATATATATAAATAGTGTCTAGTGTGTGCAATGCACATACATGCATTAATCGTAAATGTTCATGTCTGCATGTTTACCTTCATTTGAGGAACAGATTCTCCCGTCAGCATGGATTCATCCACAATACAAGGACCTCTCAGCAACAGCATATCACAGGGAACCAAATTCTCATTCTGAGAACGACCTACATAACATCAAACAATGATCACAAGTCATGCACACTATTATAGGTATCACATCACTCATTTCCCATGAAGTAAGACGAGAGAGCCAGCAAACTAAGAAACAATGAATCCGAATGCTTTACTAAATCCCAAAAAGTGTTGAAAATTCAATCAATAGATATATATGGGTTTGTTTTGTGGTCTCAGAACTCAGAACCTGAGAATGAAGGTAAAATCATAGCTATCAGTTGACTACGTCACGTGTAATGTAAAATTATCATGTGCACCCAGATAGACACCCAGAAATTATTAGATTAACATCACGCACTCACATACCAACAGAGACGATGTCACCGGGAACAAGCTCATTGCTCATTACTGGTCTCCATTTTCTATTTCTGTACACCTGTGTGAACAAAAGCCCAACAGTGAAACCCACTGCATGCACGTGCAAACCAAGTAAGCTACCAACACACGTTACATAATGCACACCAACGTTTATGCAACATAATGCATCTAAATCTTACATATCATCAACAGTTATAACATTGGCTTGATTAAAAACAATATCTTGAACTAATAATAATTATTATTAATTATTAATTATTAATATATTTATTATAATAATTATTATTAGTAATTATTATTGGTCACAGGAGATCAGAATGAGAATGTTCTAGTTCAGCCTTTTGTACTGCATACCTGTATTGAGTGTGGTTTGTTGCCCATGTTTCTAATCTCCCTAAGGTTGCGCAGCTGCTGCTGCACCAACGTTGCTTCAAATGCCACAAGCATCAATAACGTGAACAGTGAGTAGTACCAGTAGTCATCCAGACACCAGAGCCCAACGCAGAACACTTGAAAGACGAAAAACGGAGCCGTCGCACGTTCCCTGAACAGCTCAGCAAACTCTGGCACAATCATATCTAGTCTGGTGGCAAAGAGAAAACGTAAACGAATGAGTGGAAATTTCTAGCATGCCAATGACAGTGCCAAACCTGAGTGGGCAACTCAACAGCAATCAATACAATTCTACAAAGTAATATAATCTTAATTGCTACAGGTACATTATCGGTCAGGTACATCCCATCAACCGAATAAGATGTGTCCGGTTAAATATTTTTTCTGCCAGGTGTCGCAGGCACGAATGGTTAAAAAGCACTTCTTCAAATGTATCTGTAAGTCTACTCATGACTCGTTGTTATGCTTTTAGGAGTATCATCACCCTAGTATTGTTCCCCATTTTTAGTATTGCTAGCTGGGCATACGTTGGTTTCGCCAGTGTGTGCACGTGTAAGAGGTTTTGAAAGTTTACTAATTTAGCTCTGTTATGTAGTCACCTTAGTTATGCATGTAGTACAGTTGTTGTCAAAGCTACGTCCCATGCTAATTGCGATCACGCATGCATTCTAATGTGTAGTATCCCTTTAACAAAGTTTGTTAAGAAAGTCAAACAAGCAGTAATGAAAACTACATTTACTTGTAAAAGAAGTAATTTTTCACAGGACAGATATATGAGAAGTGGTCATACATACATTGTACATCTGACAGTATTTCTCTTTTGAAAAAAGGGGGGGATGTAGTGATAAATGATGATATATAATAAATATATATATGTGCATGTCATGTAATGCTACTGAGATTGAACAGCTTTAATAAAGTCCACACATGCACGCATGAGATACATAACTGAAATGTGTCTCCAAAACACAACTTCACCAACAGACATTAACCATCTTTGTGCACGCCATCTCTTGGTAAAAATGTGAACTGATAACGTTATGCACCCTATTTAGTGCCTAGCCATGCCCTCTGAGGGCGCATGATATGACTCTAGGACATGTCATGAAATGATTCAAAGCATTAGTGTCTGTTTAATCCTTTTTTAGACCATGTATTTAATACCTTAGTATGTGAGGCTGCTCAAGTGATAAGTGTGCTATCGTTGGAACTATGGCACGTCAAAGACAAAGACCAACTGAACCACCTTGACACACCCCCATATCTTACTTGTTGTCGCCATATTTGCGCTTTGCATCTTCTGTCTCTGATTCATGCTGGTAACCCTTCCAATCAAGGTAATCTTTTATTCGGTTAGCAACAGGAAATTCGACAGCACGAAACTGCTTCTTCTCCTCCCAGTCATAGACATATTTCATCTTTTGGAACATGAACCAGGTGTTTGGCTTTTTTTGAGAAATGTCCTGAAATCAAAGAAATTTAAATTAAAATATAGAAAAGACACTTATCTATGACAGACGTCCACTGCGATATTACTCACACTCCTTTCGATCAGGAGTATGACAAGATATGTCATCAGTAATTACAAATGGAACAATTGAACGGGCACGAGAACATCTTACTAATTACTGAAATCAATCAAGCAACGTCATGGTCTTACCCATTCATGATGCAGCACCACCAGTTCCGGGAAACCATTGTTTGGTGTTGGATTAACCTGCCCTACAGAAGCTTTAGCTGCATCAATCTCCTGAAAATTAAATTAAAAAATAAAAATAAAATAAGTAGGTACCTACATGATTAAATGCAGATAGGGAGTAGATACTACTGAACACCACTACTATAAGAAGTAAATCCAATCTAAGCCAGAATTCACACATTATGACAACGATGATGATGACAACCACTACCACTATGACTACTACTACTTTGAAACTTGTAACTTCTTGTTCTGATGTGTTATATTTCACAGTTCTTGCAGAACATTAAACACAATCTGCAAACATCCACAAGGAAACCAAATGCATTCATACCATCAATGAGAATTACTGCACTACCCATGATCTGCATTCTGTTCAATCTGCAATCATGCTTCCAATGGCAGATAATATGGCTGAAGGGGTCGTTGTCGTATAGGGTACTACATATATGTACCCGAGGTACATATATGTATACATAAATGTAATATAATGCTAGTCTAGGGAGTCGCCTACGCCTACTCCCTAACCCTAACCCTAAGTAACCATCAGATAGTTACCTCGGGTACATATATGTAGTACCCTATACGACAACGACCCTTCGTGCGATAATATGTGTTCATGCTACTACAAGTAGTTTTTCAGCTATCTTACCATTTCTATAGATAAAATAAGAACTTTGTAACAAATTACACTATCTGCTTCATAACACTGTGGCTACAACTACATCTAAGTATTAGGTGTTTACATTGAGGTGATTCAAGGTTAAAATATTAATGCAGTAAACACTCCCTCAGCCACAACCTTGCTCTAGCAATATAGCCTAGTATGGTGAGGTCAAGGTACATTAAGGGGGTAATTCCAGGACCCTGCCTTGGAAAAAGAACAAATCTAATGATTTACCAATGGAATGGTGATATCTGCAACATAACAACGGATATAGTAAATTCCAAATAGATCTCTAGGCGTGCACAATTCGAAATCTGTCAAAAAAGCTTTCTTGACAATTAAAGCTACCTATACCATTAAAATCCACAATTTATTTAATCAAAGTAATGTTCTATACAAGCATTTTGTGAATAAAAACATTTTGATCAGATAGATACAACACATAAGCTTCCTTGTAAGAATGCTGCGTTCTGATGTTTACATCGACAAAAGCGTCCCGCGCATCTATGTAGAGTAATATTGACACAGCGGCTTCATGTGACTTGCTGTCTATGCCACAGGCACTTGGAGCATCTCAATAAAGAAAAATAATGCTAAATGTAGCGGAATGACTGCATTAACTTCTTTGTTTCTTTTATATCTAAATGGTTTATTTATTTTTTCTTCATATCAAGCTCCAGCGGATCACACACGTTCTTCTTTATTCTCTTATTTTCTGCCTATGTTGTCTTATGTAACGTAACGAACGAACGTATCTTAACGAACAAACGTATCTTAACAAACGAACGTATCTTAACAAACGAACGTATCTTAACGAACGGTTAATCTGAAACAAATTCAAAGGGCACATTTACTATTTACCGTGTGTGCCATGCTGTTTGTGTAGCTCGCTATGGACAACAAACTTTCTGGTAAATACCATTCAAATACACATACGGCAATCACAGCCGAATCTGCTACTATTAATTTAGAAAGACATTAATAATTATTTATAAACACAAATCCCTTACCACGCTGGGTTCTTTAGGGTTTTAGAAGCACATTAAAATTCGCGTCTTCAACGGTAAGCCACAATGGCGAAAAGAGCGCGCGCGTCACATCCCTTAGCAACTAGCTGGTATCAATGCGCTGCTGCATAAAGTAGTGCACCGCGTAACCGCGTAGCGGCAGGAGTTGTCACCAACATCCCGGCCCCGATGAGGCTATCAGCACTCATTTCCTAACTAAATGGTGACAACAGCAACTCGTTTATACAGTCCATGGGCACAGCTAAGGTCATCCTCTTAGTCTATGTCGCTTAAATCACACTAGCTCCGCTTCAAGTAGGCACAGCTTGTGCACAGGTCTCGTGTATAGTCCATTCTGTGTCTTGACTTGAACAGACCTGACCAATCCATCACCGGATGGGTAAGTCTGGGTGATAAGCCCCAGAGGCCACTGGTAACGTGGAGTAGTCCCCATTCTGGAAGTTCCTCTCGTGCTTCAGCCACTTCTGCCTCTTCTGTAGGGTGGGCAGATACTCCTTAATCTACCTGGTCCAAAATACGTCCGCTCAGTACTGGACTTGGCGCCATCTCTGTCTATAAGTGTCCTGCTGGGCAAACTTTTTCGGGTGGCAAGTCTGGCCCCGATCTCAGCAGCAGCAGGTGGTTCGGTGTTAAAGGTGCCAGGTCGTTAGGGTCGTCTGAGAGCTTCGTTAGTGGTCTACCATTGACAATACCTTCAACTATGCAGAATAAAGTTGATAGTCTCTCGTCGTCGATGGTTTGCTGGCTGACGATGCCTGAGAAGACAGCTCGGACGGTTCGGATTTGCCTTTCCCATACTCCACCCATATGGGAGGCTGCTGGTGGGTTGAATATACACTGTACGTCTTGTTGTAGTAGGTAGTCGGCTATCTTCTGCTGATTCCACTCCTTTATGGCTTCATGTAACTCCCGCTTAGCCCCAACGAAGTTGGTTCCATTATCGGATCTGATGGTCTTTGGGTTCCCTCGTCGTGCAATAAATCGTTGTAGTGCGTTAATGAACGAATCAGTGTCAAGGCTGCAAGCAACCTCAAGGTGCACTGATCGAGTGGCTAGGGCCAGGCACGTGAATAGGCACCCATATCTCTTCACCTCGGTTTTCCTAGCTCTCTTTACCATGAGTGGGCCGAAATAGTCAACACCCACTTCGGTGAATGGTGGCTGATTTGGGGTGACTCTATCTCTGGGTAGGTCTGCCATGTATTGCACACTAGGTGGTTGCTTCCTCTTCTTGCAGGGGATGCAGTTTCAACGGCTCGTTTCACCGACACTCGGCCCTTTATGATCCAGTAGTTTTGTCTAATTTCCGCTAAGACTCTCGGCACCAGCATGACCAGTTATCTTGTGGAAATGTTCGATGATCAGCTTAGTCACGTGATGATCTGGAGGCAGAATGGCAGGATGTTTGGCTGATTCAGGAAGTGGTGCATTCGACAGGCGGCCACCGACTCTTAAAGGGACAGTAGCCTCTAGGATTTTACTGCATACAACTGTACTTACTGTATAACAAATGTCTAATACCCCCACACGTATTTGTTACCAAGATACCTAATTTAATGTTATAAATTAATTCAACATTTCAACGTACGAATTTGAACGGCGCCTATGACACCCGCGACCGTGCTGCCACCACGAAAAAGTTGCCGTATTTGACAATTTATTTTGCACGTTACAGACCGAGGGCTAATCACAAAAAGTAGCAATATTAATATTTATACCTAAATGCTATTTAACCGACGATATTCATTTTAGGGCAAATTTATCCATATTATAAGTGAAAGCTATATGTCCTTTATAAGGCCGACCTAAAAGATTACCTTTGGTTCGGGGTCCCGCCCGACTTCACATTTCGGAGTGATAAAATGTGCGACTGCCGGTCACTTTTAGAGGGTTTCAAGAAAAAATAAAATTCAAAGATATCGCCTGGCCGATCATACATATTCAAATATTCCGACTCTTGTCATTTTATTTACCTAAGGAGAGTTCCAAAATATTTATAAAGAACTTCGTTGGCGTGAAGTGAGAACAGTTCCTGCCTACGTTTCCTAGAATCCTAAAACGTGAAAACAGTCGTATAGAGCCTGGGGCACGGGCGCGGCTACTTCATAAACATGCCTGAAGGTCGTAGGCGCAGGCGGCCGGCTTTGATGTACGCGATCGATCGCGTACTATATAGTATACGCTTGCTATCTGCTATACGCGGCCGCAGAGCCGTTTACACTTCGGTACTCGCTTGTTTAAAGACATTAATCGAGCTCCGTTTTTGGAGCGATTCCTAACACTACTTCCAGTACACGGCAACGAATACCAGTACACGACACCAGTAAACGACTGGTGTTCACATTTTGAAAACAATGTCATGACTTGCAGCAATGGTACATGCAACTGCAAGTCATTTGCATCTCGTGGCTCCTGCATTTCAAGCTGTATACCCTATATTTAACTTGTGGAAAAAAAATTTATATTCCTGCCTACCCATCCATGTTTTTGCAGAAAAAAAAAAAAAAAAAAAAATGTTATGCCTACTACGCCGACCCTAATTTTCACAATCCATGTGACCCGAACCAAAGGTATTTTTTTGTTTGGCCTAAGATATTACAATCTTTTTGCTTTTAAATTAATAAATAAGAAACACCCTCGGTCCTGTAGCCCTGGTGGAAAGTGGTTGTTGCGCAACTTATCAATCGTGCGCTTGAGTCGGCAGCCACCTCGTTGTAATCAAACTGTAGTCGTTAAATTTTAAAACATTTAAAAAAAATATCTCTAATGGTGATTAACCATGAAACTTTTTATGTTCAGCGTAATTTAATCAACCTAAAAATTAGCTGAAAATAACCTAGAACCTATAGTCAAACTCTCCCCTTAAGCATTCCATTCGCTTGACACATGTGGGAGAGAGCTTCTCTAGTTGTGTAGGTTCGTAGGGTCAGCGTCCCAGCTTTCTCTGCATGTAGACTATAATTAGCTGTTCAGCTCTTCTGGATTTCTTTCAACTGTGACTGGTTCATGAGATTTGACATCTAACTTCTTCCTCAAGAATGTTCTTGTCCAGCACGAAGGAATATAGTACAGCTTCGCTTTTAGTTCATGCCACGCACGAAAACCTTTCAAACAGTTGGTCGACCCTAGACGGCTTGAACTAGAAACCCGGACTTCTTGTTCGACACTTCGTCTCTATCTCCAATTTCATCATTCTCAGCGTTGTTTCTGATACTGTACACGTTGATCTGTGGTTATCCTTTCGCCATATGAAGCGGCTGCTAGTTCCATTCTCCGGCTTTTGTTTACGGAGCAGTAGCTCGTATGTTCTTTGGCTGCTTTAACTTCTCACTCTCTAGTCTGCAATTTGTCTCTCCAGTACCTTCACCGAGTCAT